GCCCAAAGAAGCTGTGGTAGGGAAGGAGTGTACTATAAATAGGGCTCTTCCTGCAAGATGCAGCAACAGATATATTCAGGGCCCCACATGCTGCAAGGACTCACTGATGGAGCCTGCAGCCTTGAATTAGAACATCTTGGGGGTCTCAAGCACTAGAAGAATTCAGTGTTTGCAGGGAGTGCTCTAGTGTTTGACTGCTCTTGAGGAGGCAGTGGGAGTGGGATATGGTGCTCTGGGATCTGTATGTGTGCAATGCATGTGTGGCAGAATGAGGGATAATCCAATCTAATACTCAAAGCCAAAACAGCAGTACAATTGGGGGCTTGATCAGAAGGGAGAGGGACCTTTTGCATGAAAAAAGGAGAGGGCTTCCTTTGTTAATTGGAGTAAAAAAGAATTTGCATAGGGCTCCTCATTAACATGCTCACTGTTGCTACCTCCCTGGATACCAGGATCCCCTCCTCCAACTTTGCATCAAACAATGCTGCTCTCTCAGTGTAGAGGAGGGGTGGGGTGAGCAGGAGCAGCTGGGGGGGCTGTGGGACATTGAGTGACAGTGCCTAGTTTAACCACCTCCCCATCGGACGAGAAAGTGCCCTCATGTAAAGCATACTTGGCAGCCCCTCTCTTTTTGCCTTGTCTTTTCATGTGGCTCCCTGGTTAATTAGGGTGTTGGAATTTGAAGCTTCCTCATTCCCCTTTGAAGCTTCAGACTGTCCTGTTCCAAATTAACCCTAATTACAAGGAATATCTCCCTCTCTCTTTTTGCTTCTTCACAGCATTTGCAGATGTACTGTCATTTTAACTCCAGACATTAACACATACATACATACATGCATGTCTCCAGTGTCCATTCCTTACTTTCTCCCAGCCTAGTCAAGACAAGAACAAGGTTGCTGAGTAGTCAGTGCCCTGAGGCAATTTCCAGTTAAGTTCAAAGGATTTACTAGAGAGGCAGCAAATGGGAGAGGTGCAAACTCTAGCAAGATTTTCTCATTTTCTGAATTGTAGGGATGGGAGGCTGTTAGTGTCTCTGCCTTAGCCATCACATGGCACAAAGCCATCTCCTGGCACTTGTTAATGGAGCTTTGTACTTCAGGTCCATCTGATGAAGGACTTCTCTAATTTTCAGGTTCCATCTTGGCCTGTGGCTTGAAAGTTTGGATTGAATGTGTTCCCCACCCTTCCTCAACATTCTGGTTGTATGTGTGGTTTCTCTCCTGGGTGGCCTAGTCAAGATCAGCACAGCTCAGCATGACTCCTAGTGCCTTGCCTCCCAAATAGCCTGGAATGGTTTGGATTCTGCCTCTAATACTTCCCTTCCAGCTCGGACGCAGAACATCTGTCCCCTCCCTATGTTCCTTGGCATGAAGTCTTCCCTTGCTGGCATTGCAGCCTTTCCTTTGGAGAGAGTGGGGTGGAAACAAAACGTATGCTTGTCAATCAGCCTATTTTTTTCAGCAGCCACAAAATATTAGAACTAGAATGTATAATGACAAAAGTCACAAAAATAGTGGGATAAACTAAGATACCATTAGAATTGCTGATCTCAGCAGTTAGAACAATAAAAATCTTGAAGCAAGCTGCCTTTATTACCAAATATAAAAACACAGTTTCTAATTAGGAACCTAGAAGGAGGCTGTGGTGGTTTCATATCTTTATTTACTATTCTGCATTAAAAACAAGGTGAGGAAAATGCAACATGTTCCTCATGTTTTAAAAATATGTAAAACTGTATTCTTTTAATATGAACTGTGTTTGGACAGGCGATCTCCTCTCAAGACAAATAGTTTGATAAATTGATACAATGGTGTTCCGATCAAGAAGCAACACCTTGCTTATTTTACTGGAGCAATCAAAATCCCTGTAAAGTGGCTAGATTGTTCTCTATAAAATTAAAAATACACTAGACACGGCCTTTATAGATTCATCTTAATTCTTCCCTTTGAAGGCTAAATTAAATATGGATAAGTCTGAGTGGCCCTTTGACCAGTAGTGTGTTTATGCTCTATGGTATACCTTTTGTAGTCATAGCTGCTGTTACAAGACATGTCTACATTACAAAGTTACTTTAGGTTTATACTGTTTAACTGTCATAATTTCCAAATAATCCTAGGAATTGTATTTGGTGAGGATGGTAAAAATTCTCTTTCAATAATCCTTATCTTCCTGGAACATTATTAGTGTTCTTTGGAGACAGATAATGTCTATTAAAGCTGTGCAAGTATGTAGTGAAGATATGCCATACACATGTTTAGAAAAAATGAAATGGGACAATCTTGGAAAATGAGATTCTTAGATTCAGGGTACAGTTCTATGGCCTCCTGACATCATATGGGAGACCATAGGCCTTTTTGGAGTCTGAGCACTGAGTTTCTCTGATCTTGGTGCACAGACTCTGAAGCTTGTGCTCCTACATTGCCCCCTTGCAGCCAGAGATAAAAGATCTGTTCTGGCTGCCTCTCCTGGGCCTCAGATGGGCCTCAGAGGGGATGTTGGGGAGCAGGGAGAGGAGGAGGTGGCTGGGGCTGCAGAGTTGTGCAGTTCTCATCAGTGTCCCAGCCTATTTCCCTCTCCAGTGATGGCTGACAATGGCCATCTAGATAAAATGCCATTCATGAGGTGCACAAAGGCTGAGAGAACTGCTAATGTACCTCACACCATACACTCTGAGTTTGGAGGCTTATAAGTGGGATTGCATCCTTGCTGTCTTTTGGTTCCAGCTCCTAATTGACAGTTACTATTGTCAGCTCCATATGACAGGGACCAAATTCTGCAGAAATGTTTGTTCTACTTTAGCAATTACATTTTACATGGACAATCTTCTTTGGTTTACAAGACAAGAGGTTTAGACTAGAAAGTGAGATATGGTGTTTCAAAACCAATTTGAGATCAGTAAACAAATTCTATGACTCTTAATCTGAATGTCTATATAAGTAAAATCAGAATAGTGAAGACAGCTCTCACATTCTTATTTCAAGGTTCTTGGAAGATACAGTCGCTCTACAATTAGGGTCATGACAGAACCCTAATTGATTTAGATTTGTAACATAAATATGTCCTACAACAAATAGTGAAACAATGTAAATTAATATAAATTATGTGTTTGTTCTGAGTTCCTCAGAAATTTATGAGGTGAGGTTTTCCTCAATGAGAAGATGAATAATGGCAGACAAGTGACTCCACAGGAGCATTTTTTGTCCACTTCCCTTCTTCTGCTACAATGTGCAGCCACTGAGTAGTGGTGTGTGTATATGAGGGTGTGCTTTCAGTTTGTGCAGGGGTGAGGTACTCTGAATAGGTCCCAGATTCCTCTGCTGAGTACAGCAGTTCTGTGGCAGGTATAAGGAGCTCCTTTTCAGTTAGGAAGCCTCTCACATATGAATTACATGAAGGGGCATCACACAAGTATTGTGGAGCACATACCTCACCACTGCTGTCCTTGCTTCCCAAGTATCTTTGGTGCAGACATTCATACTGCCATGTGGATCTTCAGGGGTGAGACTACCAGTGTTCTAGATGTGGAAATGAGAAGCAGCACTAGTACCCAGCAATTGTACAATGTCCCACTTAGAAGTGAATGAGGCCAGACATATGGAGAAAGACTTTCCCAAAAATACATATTTGAAAACTAGTAGATTTAAAAACACCAAAATTTACAGCCAGATAACAGCTAGAAGGGCATCTAAGGCCTGGGGATCAGAACAGGGGCATGTCTCACTAGAAGAGCAGAGGAGACAGCTGGTTCCCACTATGACTCCTTGGCATTACAATACCCAGTGGACTGATGATTAGGGAATGCTGATGCAGTGATGAGGAGAAAGGGAGTCATCTTGCATCAGGTTATCCTACAAGCAGAAGCAGGGGGTACAGTGTGTTTACCCTTGCCATTGTCAGTTCATTTGTCCCTCCAAAAGCCACAGGAGAAACAACTCATCCCTTTTTGGTTTTTAATATGACTCCATAGTCATATTTGCTACACTTCTTATTGTGGCTCCTGGAACCACTGTGGGCACCTTCCTGTTGGGAGGTAAGTGACAGCACTCTATGCTGGCTGTGGTGTCTCATATTTTGTAGTCTCTCTCTGACCTTAGCACTTTCTCAATAATAGTAATCATCATCATCATCATCATCATCATCATCATCATCATCGAGAATGCTAGTCTGTCTGCTAATGCCATAACTGAAAGACTGTGAAATCTAGACACTTGAAATTTGGTATGCATATGAAGGGATGTGCACCACAGTGGTATTTTAAATAAACGTATTAATGAATTATAATTAATTTAAATATGTCTGTGCATTTGAAACTTGCAATACCAACTTCAGTCACTAGGGGACAGAGTTCCCTAATCAGTACACAGCTTTGCAGTTTGATGAGGAGGGAGTAGTCTGAGAGTCAAAGCTATATGGATATCCCTTCTCCCATGCTTTGGGGAAAACAAAGGAATCGATTGGACAGACCGCTCCCTTAGAGTGCTGAAAGGATGCACCATAGCTGCTACCAGCTGTAGCTTCATTCAGACATGGTAAATGCACTGTGTCCAGCTCCAACAGTTGTGTAGCTTTGCTTGAAGGCTTTGTTGTACCAGCTGATGGCTATTCTAAATTGTACAAATGAGCTGGATTAGCTAGAATTGCAAGCTTTTAAATAAAATACTCACAGAAGCTGCAGTCTGCAGTGGAAGACCTGGGAGAGAGACTGGCTTCCAAACCTGGCTTCAAAAATCCCACCATTGCCACTTACTTTCATCCTGCCTTTCCACACCTCCCCATTCCTCTCATGAGGTGTGGATGTGGGGAAGCTGTTTGGTAGGTGATTTTCAGCAGAAGAATCACTGAAAGGGAAAGATTCAGAAATTTGAAATATTGCAAGATGCAATCCTATGGATGTGTTCTCAGTTCTATTCATTGTTCTGGTGATAATGTAAAAGGTCGTCTTAGAGGGTGGAACTAAGTGAAAGGTGTATTGATTTTAAGGTCTGTCTGTGTCTTTTCAGAGGGTAGCCGTGTCAGCCAGGAGCTCCGGTACACAAAAGAAAAGCTAGGGGAAGAGTCTCTCTACACATCTCAGATGCTGATACAAACACCCAAACGGGAAGGAGAAAACATCCTGACCTCAGAAGCCTTGGGAATGCATCTTGAAGCTGCTCAAGCTGCTAGCAAAGTGCAAGTCTTACTCTATGGAAAGTGAGTCTGATATGGAGGATCTGTGTAATACAATCATTTCCTAGTTTGATGAACTGCAGATTATCTAGTCCAGCATTCTGTTTCTGTCAATGATCAGCCAGATGTCTCTGGGCCCCCAAAAGCCCAGAATATGATGTTCAGGCTTCCTCTGATGCTTGTGCCCAATAATTGCTTCTATACAAAGAAGTTCTCTTAAGTTATCATCATACTAATCCTATATTAACTAAGGTGTGTGTTTGCAGATGACTCTGGCTTCCTGATACTCATTGTCTCTGTTTCTTCTTTCAGGTCATGGGATCTCAACAAAATATGCTACAAGTCAGGTGTCCCCATAATTGAGAATGGAATGATTGCTCGGGTGAGTTGCTAAGGGAACATGTGCATCTGAAGAAATAAAGATTGCAGAGATATGAACTGGATCAGCTAGGGAAATTCTTTTTGTTGGACAGTGTAAATAATTCCTTGGGGAGAGACTGGTTGGCTGGAGAATAGGGAAAGGATTGTTATTGAGATAGGGTGGATTTTTTTAAGGATACTATCTCAAAGAGATAGTTCCCCACAACATCCTTCTGGGCATTTCTGTATAGATTGGACATTATTCTTTTGGCGAGATCTCCTCACTCTACTAACAATCTCTACTGTATATCTGAGATAAGAGTTATGCATCCTTATTTCCCTTCCAGCCAAGTACAGGAGTAAAGTCTATTTTATCCTAGCTGCTTTTAGCAGTGCCTGTCCTTTATTAATAAGTGGTTTTTATATTCAGCATGTTGAAATTGTAAGAGAATGCAGAACTGCTGGTTGTTTATGCAGCCAGCCACTGAACATGACTACCACACTTAACTGGGCTGGTGTCCTCAGGGTAAAGACTTCCCATGATTAGCACATGGCCTCTAGGATCTCTGGAATGAGAGTTCTGTTTGAATTATGGGATTTGTATTTGGGATGATGCTGTTTGGTACCTAAGACAAGAGCTCTCTTCCAGATGATTGTGAGAGAGTATATGCAAGTGACAAGATGTACTTTATTGGTTTCAGTGACAGTTGTAGACAGGAATTGTAGAAAGTCAGACCTACCGTGAAATTAGGTGAGCACCTGAGCAGGTGGATAAGTTAAAGAGAACAGTAACTATGAGCTTGTGGCTTTTCTTAGTATTCTTATTTCTGTTGTCATTCCTAGATGATTGAGAAGCTTTTTCCCTGTGTTATTGTGACCCCACTGGACTGCTTCTGGGATGGTGCCAAGTTGCAAGGTGGTTCTGCTTACCTTCCGTGAGTACCTGCTTTTCTCGTGCACTTTTCTGCCCTGCTATGATTGGCATTTAAGGACAAGCCTGTGTAGAAGGGATTCTGTCATTTCCTTAGCATCCAGCCTAACAATTAGGGCTTACTAGTTAATGATGCTGGGGGCTCTTTTTGTCAGTTGACCCTGTGCAACACTTTCAGGAAAATCTGATGTCATTAGCTGTCTCTGCTTTCATCAAAAATTATGGTAATCTACCAAGCCAGAGCTGGATTAACCTGTGTATTTTTAGGGTGTCTGGCCTTACAAAACATAACAGGTGATGTTAGCAGAAGGTTGGATGGATTTTGACAAGTATTTTGCAATTGGTATTGTCTGATGTTTGGGTTTCTTCCTTGGCATCTGAGGCAAAGCTACTTTCTTTTTTCTGGTACTTCCAACTCCCCTCTGAGGAGCAGCTAAACAACTGGGACTGTTTAGCTTAGAAAAAAAGGCAAGTAAGGAAAGATATGATAGAGGTGTTTAAAATAATGCATGGCATGGAGAAAGTGGGGAGGGAGACATTCATGTTCCTCTTCCGTAACACTAGAACCCAAGGTCATCCTATGCAGCTGATTGGTAGGAGGTTTAGGACAGATAAAAGGAAGTACTTCTTCACACAGCATATAGTTAACCTATGGAGTTTGCTGCCAGGGGAAGTGGTGATGGCTGCTGATCTGGATGGCTTTAAAAAGAGATTGGACAGATTCATGAGAGAGGAGGCTATCAGTGGCTACTAGCCTTGCTGGCTATGTGCTGCCTCCTTTATCAGAGGTGGCATCCCTGCATACATCAGTTGGTGAGGAGCTTGGGCAGGAGGAGGGATCCTATCCTGCTTAAGGGATCCTGTGGGCAGATGGTTTGCTACTGTGTGTACAGACTGCCGGACTAGATGGACTTTTGGTCTGATTCAACATGACTTTTCTGACGTTCTTATAACAGACACATAGATGCCAGGTCATTTGCAAGGGGCTCCAGCCATATCTGAACTGAAGTTTAAAGTGGCATCTGCTTAAGCAGTTAATATGACACGGCAGGAGAGCCCTGTAATATCACTCTAGAACAGCAGTAAGATGTTAGTAGCACTATGATGTTACAGTTTTATATCCTACAAGAACATGATTGGCAGGGTACTACTTGCAGCATCACATTAGGGAGGGGTGACAGCAAGGTGGTGGGTGGCAACATGATAGAACCACATCCTCCAGCTTGTCCCCAAAGAATTTCTAAGTCCACAGCTCCAGCCTTAGCTCTTTGCCCCATTTCCTAACCAGAAGAAAAGATGCTTTTTCTCACCTCTGCTTCCCCTCCACACAGTTTCAGCTTTGAGGGCAATTGTTTTGCTTTGTTGCCTTGTAATTATGTTTCTATTAAGGTGTACAAAATGGGAGATGGAAGGGGAGAGGGAGTAAAGATCTGGGGATCAGCCCCTATGCAAGCACTGGGGGAGGGAGAGCCAGGAACAATAGACAGCATTCTTTCTGTTTACAAGTGTGTTTGTCCATAAGGGGCCCTGGAGACTTATGCTTTGTCAGCAAACGCCAACACCATGTATTCTCATGCTAATGATACTTTGAAATCTCCAAGTTGCCCAACAAATGGAATAGTAGCTTTATTCAGCCTGCTGTGGAGAAAAGGGGGACAGTGAAGCAGTGAGGAGAAAATGAATTTCATAAAAAATTAAAAGGAAAGGATTTTAATATAGGACTGCCAGGAAAAGGGGTTGGAGTGGAGTGCAGGATTTCTCTTTGGAACTGAGGAACAGCACAAATCCAAGGTGGGGGCAAGAACAGCATTCATCCCATTGAGTTTTTATTGTATGGTTGTCAGGTGTTATCTGTAGAATGAAGAACAATACAGAAGAATTTCTCTTGAGCCCCCCAATAAGAAAGGGATTTTTAAACATCTTTTATCATGGTTACAGAGTCTGAGATTTTTGGAGGCCCACCTTATAACTGTCTTCTCTAGCTTCCTTTAAAAACACATTTTAAATAATCCAACAGTAGCAACGTAGGAGACATTGGGCTTTAAGCACACATTTTCATAACCGCTCAGCTTCTGCCACAACAAAGCAGCTAGCAAAGAAGTGAGAGTTTGCTTGCTTTTTCTAGACCCTTCTATGGCAAATACTCAGTGTCTTGCTCCCTTAGTTTCTGAACTTGGTTGCTTAGATTATGTGGAAGAAATGAACACATTCCATATTGTTCTTCTAACCCTGTGGAAGCTGATGATCAATCTGACTGGGACAGGGCTGTGAAGGACAGGACAGCAGAGGTGGAGCCAAAGGATCACAGGAAGCAGTGCCAAAGGGTCATAGGAGTCAGGACAGTCTTAGAATCCCGAACCACCGGCAGTTCATGCCCCAAAAATAAGTGAGGCACGTGAACTTTAAGACTGAATGTACAAAGCAGGGAGTGAGGACTCACATAAGGCACTCCTTTGGATTCACATTGTCTTCATCCAGAAATAACTCCCAGTCCACAGAGAATAGTGAATTATTAGCTGGGGAGGGGGCAGGGCGGGGTGGTGTCCAGACCATGCAAAATCATGTTGCTTCTGCTAATGCTGATAATCTCAGAGTCACACAGCCAGGGCCAGGTTAAGGCCATGATGAGCTCCAACTTAGGATTTTGTAGTGAGTCTTCTACTCTAGCATCAATACGGAATTCACAACACTCAAGCATTCAGGCACAATATATATTGTGTTGTATATTTTAGTGGAAATCATCTTCTAGGCTTTCCTTAAAACAAAAGACTCATACCCATGGTAGAAAATTCTAATATAAACACAAGCTCCTCCTTTTGCAGCACACAGAAAACATAAGCATGAATCGATGTTCTCTGTCATATATATGTACATTCAGGAAAGAGACATAGACTGACATAGCCACATACAAAGCCACGATTGGTCCAGGATACTGTTTCCTGAGGCAGATCAGCAGATGCTTCCCATTACTGACAGACTGAGCTGGGCCAGAGGGTAACATGGAAAGGAAAGGCAGAACAAAAATATAAGTAAATATTTTTATACTAGAAAATTGTCTTACATTATGTTCATAATAAGCTTCCTAACACAATGGTTTCCTGTGCATTAATATGTGCATTGCATTTGTACTAGAGATGAGAAGCATCCCATACTCCTTTCGGTTATTTATCTGATATAGACCATGGAGAGGGAGCCTGAAAGTTGATACCAACTTTTATAACTCATATTAAATAAAATGACAATTTTTAAACACCCTCTTGCTTCTCCTATGTTCCACCCATATGCGCATCTTCATATGAACATCAACTCAGAGAAACTGTATTAGTAGCAAATATCTTGTGGGATCTTAAAGAATAACAAATGTATTCTTGTATAAGCTTTTGTGGATTATAAGCACTTCAAATTGTTATCCACTGCCTCCCTCACCCTACATTTCCCTAAAAACAAGTAAAAAATCGAACATACTAACCAAACTGGATATAAAATCTGGACTGGTGATTCAGTGTGTGTAACAATAATAGACCACTTTCAGTGCTTACATGAGCCATGAGTGTTCTCAGAACACTCAAAATGCATCCTTTTGCATGTTGGGAGAACAAAAACAATACCAATAATCATGCAAATGCTCTTCTTTAAAGCCACATTTTTTCATTCTAACAACCCACATTCCAGTGAGAATAAAATTGAATAAACTGTCTTTGAAATTATGAGTGCCAAATGTACAACAAGACCCACATAAAAATACATGCACAAGCCCCAAGGCATCCATGCATATACAAAGTATAAACCACAAGGCATTCATTTTCGTTCTCTTTCTGTCGCACGCACACATGCACACACATGGTGTTTACACAAATACCTTGTTTGCACAACATGACAGCTCAGAATGGATAATCATCCAGGGTGGGGTTTTGTGTTGTACAAATCTGGTGCAGCTTCTGCAGGGTCTTCTTTCTTAGGAACCACTACCATCCTGAGTACCCATGGATTGTTTAAGGGTTGTCTCACTCACAATTGGGTCTCTCAGCCATCTGAGACAGATAGTTTAACTTGGTGTCCTACACTGTGTGGGGGTTGGACCCAGTGGCCTTCTGCCCCTTCCAATTCTACTATTCTACAATTCTGTGAACCTGGCAGGGTAGTATGATCAGTTACAGAGCCACTCTTCAAGATTAGCAAAAACTCCTACCACTTGCTTTCATGATTTTCACCAGTGACTGCCCTTCCACTGATGCCAAAAGGGAAAGACAATCATTCATGAATATTTCTCATTTCTAGAATGGCTGGAAACTTAGAGACGTGTTGAAAAGGTGGAGGGCACTGAGAACTGTCAGTTCATTTAAAATTAAGAGGATTACACTGATAAATGGGTATATTACTCCCCCACCCCTTAGCACATTTTCCTTTGTCTTTCCCCTCTTTACAGGTGCTTTTCAATTAACAGCCTGGCAATTGTTCATTGTATTCAAATTAGCCTAGCTGCAGTCTTGTCTTGTCCTATCCTAGCTTGGACTGCTGAAACTGAGAAGGAAATTGACTAGAGCCTGCCTTGCCTAGTCAAGAATGCACTTGTGAAAATCAGAAAAATAATAGTAATAATAATTTTAAAAATCATGAATACAATTGTGCAATTGTAAGGGCTTACAATAGGAACCCAAGTGCACTTTTTGAGGTTCTGAAAAATAAAATTAGAAATTGGTAACATATGAAAAGAAGTTGTGATTGGAATGAGGAGAGGGAGAGAAGACAGGTTAGGTTGTAAAGGACACTAGGATACATGCCAGAGGTGGTTGGAGGTCTGAGGGAGAATCATAGAATTGTGTAGCTGGAGGGGACTTACAAGGCCAATGAGTCCAACCTCCTGCTCAGTACTGGACCCCAAGTTAAACCACCCCTCTCAGATGAATGTCCAGTTTCATCCTGAATGCCTCTAGTGTGGGAGAGCTCACAATCTCCCTAGGTAATTGGTTTCATTATTTACTGCTCTAACTGTCAGGAAGTACT